CATCAGCCCGTTCGGCAGTTGTCGAACAAGCAGGCCACTAACCCGCCGAGAATCGTACGGTTTTCAAGCCTGCTTGTTCGACGGAAGTACAGTAGAAACGGTCGCACGCCTTCCATACACTGTACGATTATCGCACGATCGCGGGATTTCCCGCGATTCTCGTACGAGAATCGTGCAGTGTATGGGCACCTTAAGCTAATTACATTTGCTATTTAATAAAGAATGGCATCTCCTGCATCCCTTTAGAAGTGCATGCTCTTTGGTTCTCCCCACCAGAACTGGGGCCATTGCACATGTGTTCGTGTGATTTGCATACAAGTTATTTGATTGCCTATGTGCACACGGGCATCTTTTCACTCAATTTACATGCTACTAGCAAAAACTAAAAGAGAAAAATGCGTAAAATTTATCTAAACTTCAAACTTATTTTTTTAAAGGTAGGAGAGCTATGAAGACATTTATGAACAGTCAAGATAAAATTTAGAATAATTAAGGCGGTCTTTAAAACTTTTGAAACAAAATATGTCTCTATAACAGTGCTGGTCAACTATTGAGGTTTAGGGGCCTAAACTGTGATATCAGCAAGGGGCCAAACATAATATTAATTTTATTTAATGCTACAAAAAACTTGTACTGGGTATATTACAGAAGATGGTCAGAGACTGTGAACATGCTACAGGTGTGGTTGGAAACTGGAGACATACTACAGAAGATGGTCTGAGACTTTGAACATGCTACAGGTGTAGCTGGAGGCTGTAAACATACTACAGAAGATGGTCAAAGACTGTGGGCATGCTACAAGTGTGGTTGGAGACTGAAGACATACTGCTGGAGATGGCCAGATACTGTGGACATGTTGCAGGTGTGGTTGGAGACATACTGCAGGAGATGGTCAGAGACTTTGAACATGCTACAAGTGTGGTTGAAGGCTGAACATACTACAGAAGATGGCCAAAGACTGTGGGCATGCTACAAGTGTGGTTGGAGACTGAAGACATACTGCTGGAGATGGTCAGAGACTGTGGACATATTGCAGGTGAAGCTGAATACTGGGAACACACTACAGGAGACGATCAAAGACTGTGGACATGCTACAGGTGTGGTTGGAGACTGTGAACATACTACAGGAAATGGTCAAAGACTATCGATATGCTACAGGTATGGTTGGAGACTGGAGACATATTGCAGGAGATGGCCAGAGACTGTGGACATGTTGCAGGTGTGGCTGGAGACTGTGAACACACTACAGGAGACGATCAAAGACTGTGGACATGCTACAGGTGTGGTTGGAGACTGTGAACATACTACAGGAAATGGTCAAAGACTATCGATATGCTACAGGTATGGTTGGAGACTGGAGACATACTGCAGGAGATGGCCAGAGACTGTGGACATGCTACAGGTGTGGTTGGAGACTGTGAACATACTACAAGAGATGGTCAAAAACTATCGACATGCTACAGGCGTGGTTGGAGACTGGAAACATACTGCAGAAGATGGTCATAGACTGTGGGCATGTTACAGGTGTGGTTGGAAAATGTGGACATGATACATGTGTGATTTTAGACTGATGATATACTGCAGGACACACACAGTGACTGGGAACATGTTGCTAGAGATTGCTATAGATTACTGCTATTAAAGTTTATTTACAAATCAATACTAGCAGGGGGGGCATGTGCCCCGGGTGCGGCTTTAGGAGGGGGGGGGGGCTCTGGATGTGCGGATGGAGAACTTCTCCCTTGGGGGGGAGCAACTCTGAGCCTTTGCCCCAGGTGACAGAATGTCTAGCTTCCCCACTGGGTCCAAGGGCCGCACAACAAGCACCAAAGGGCGACATGTGGCCCTTGGTCTGCAGGCTGGGTATCAGTGCTCTGAAAGCTTCTAAGCTTGTTTTTTTGTGCGTTCAAGCATATGGTGTTCTAGCCATATAATAATTTAAAGCGTATTTTAATACTGATATTTTTTAAATGCCTCCCAAACCATGGAAACTGTACACTAACCCTGCAGTGTGATGCCAACCTGTCCAATCATTGCTCTGGTCACATATGATGGTAAAGTGTCAATACATAGTATCATTACCAAGATGTTACAATAGAGAATACAGTATTGTTGTGGCAACTAGTTCTTTGTTACTTTCTGGGGCTACTGTTCATAACCACATAACTTTTTGGGTTGGCAACTCTGACAAGCCAGGATTAAAGTGACATTAAACCCTCAGATTTTTTTAACATAAACCAATACTGTAATGTGTGCCTTACTGTAATCCATGGTAGTTTCCCTTCTCTTTGCTGCTCTTCCTTTTAAATCTATATCTGTTCTCATGCTGGGCAGAACTTCTGTTTTGCAGCAGACTGCCTTGTCTCAGGAATGGATACATGGTGTCTGTGTGTAGGTTTGTAACCTGAGCCAGCACTACAGGAAGAGGCCCTGAGCTGCAAAGGGAAGTTCTCCCCCAGCATGAGAAGATATGAGGATTTAAAAGGAAGAGCAGCAAAGAGAAGGGAAACTACTATAGATTACAGTAAGGCACACATTACAGTATTGGTTTATGTTAAAAAATCTGAGGGTTTAATGTTACTTTAAGCACTCCATGTCACATTTATGAGAAAATGTGTGTGCAAGCTCTGTTGCCACACATTCCTTTCCTGCTGCAAATCTCATTCCTTGAAGGTAGACCCTACCTGACTATTTGCCTGAGGAATCTGAGGGTCGACATAAGAGGTATCCACCATGTCCACATAAGAGGTATCCACCATGTGCACATAAGAGGTATCCACTATGTCTTCTTTTGTGCCCCTTTAAGTGGTTCTCCTGCAGCATTATAACTTCTAAAAATAGTTTCTGACCATTGTCCTAAAGTATTCGCTGCTGTGTCTGGATTATTAGGTTGATGGCAACCTTAGTAAAATAACTGGTGTGCGGATGGAGAACTTCTCCCTTGGGGGGGAGCAACTCTGAGCCTTTGCCCCAGGTGACAGAATGTCTAGCTTCCCCACTGGGTCCAAGGGCCGCACAACAAGCACCAAAGGGCGACATGTGGCCCTTGGTCTGCAGGCTGGGTATCAGTGCTCTGAAAGCTTCTAAGCTTGTTTTTTTGTGCGTTCAAGCATATGGTGTTCTAGCCATATAATAATTTAAAGCGTATTTTAATACTGATATTTTTTAAATGCCTCCCAAACCATGGAAACTGTACACTAACCCTGCAGTGTGATGCCAACCTGTCCAATCATTGCTCTGGTCACATATGATGGTAAAGTGTCAATACATAGTATCATTACCAAGATGTTACAATAGAGAATACAGTATTGTTGTGGCAACTAGTTCTTTGTTACTTTCTGGGGCTACTGTTCATAACCACATAACTTTTTGGGTTGGCAACTCTGACAAGCCAGGATTAAAGTGACATTAAACCCTCAGATTTTTTTAACATAAACCAATACTGTAATGTGTGCCTTACTGTAATCCATGGTAGTTTCCCTTCTCTTTGCTGCTCTTCCTTTTAAATCTATATCTGTTCTCATGCTGGGCAGAACTTCTGTTTTGCAGCAGACTGCCTTGTCTCAGGAATGGATACATGGTGTCTGTGTGTAGGTTTGTAACCTGAGCCAGCACTACAGGAAGAGGCCCTGAGCTGCAAAGGGAAGTTCTCCCCCAGCATGAGAAGATATGAGGATTTAAAAGGAAGAGCAGCAAAGAGAAGGGAAACTACTATAGATTACAGTAAGGCACACATTACAGTATTGGTTTATGTTAAAAAATCTGAGGGTTTAATGTTACTTTAAGCACTCCATGTCACATTTATGAGAAAATGTGTGTGCAAGCTCTGTTGCCACACATTCCTTTCCTGCTGCAAATCTCATTCCTTGAAGGTAGACCCTACCTGACTATTTGCCTGAGGAATCTGAGGGTCGACATAAGAGGTATCCACCATGTCCACATAAGAGGTATCCACCATGTGCACATAAGAGGTATCCACTATGTCTTCTTTTGTGCCCCTTTAAGTGGTTCTCCTGCAGCATTATAACTTCTAAAAATAGTTTCTGACCATTGTCCTAAAGTATTCGCTGCTGTGTCTGGATTATTAGGTTGATGGCAACCTTAGTAAAATAACTCAGTGCTTTTGTCTGTGTGTATGCCATTCATTAGAGGAAAGCTAGCCACACACTATGCAGTCTGATAATACAATACAGCATGAGGGCATTGCTGACTGGACACAAATTGATTTCATTGTTGGGGGATGCCCTCACGCTGCACAGTTGTTTGTGAATCTGAACAATATCACACAATAGGAAGGTAACACATGTGGCCAATTTAAGGGCCCATTGACATCATAGCATTGTGCTAAACCAGCCTGTCTCAACCAGGATGACGTGGCACCTGGGGTGCTTTCTAGCTTTTTCATGAGTGCCTCAAAATCTTCGCACAGAGTAATGCCTTTCTATGGTGCAGACAGGCTTCTGAAGTGAAGGGGCTTTTGTGACGTAAAGGGGGATTCTGGTGTGAAAAGAGGGGACTCTGATATGAAAAGGGAGATCTAATTGAAAAGGGGGCTCCTGATCCAAAAGTGGGGGCACCTGATGTGAAGAATGCTCCTGATGTGAAGGGGAAGGTTCTGATTTGAAGGGGGCTTGTGATGTTAGGGGGCTCCTAATGTGAAAGGAGATCCTAATGTAAAGGGGAACTCTGATGTGAAAGGGGTGATTCTGAGGTGAATGTGGGTATTCTGGTGTGAAGGAGGGCTCCTGATTTAAGAGCCTCATGTGAAGGGGGAACCCCATTTTTTTATGTGGTGGCACCCCTTTAAAATCCATACCAGTCTTCTATGAGGGATAAGGGTCTGGTATGGATTTTGGAGGGGCACAGGTGGGTTGTTTACACCTAGGTATGTGACATATTGGAGATGTTGCACACATGACTGTAGAAAGGCTGAGGGTCGGTCACATCTATAGGGACACAGGGGCTGCTCTTCTCCTCGTCCTCAGCGGGTGTGGCCTCCATACAGCCTCTGTCATGCTTCTTCCCTCCTCTTGCAGCTTGCTGGGCTGAGCATTCCTTGTGTTCTCGCTCGTCTCCGCTGCTTCTGTACGGCTGCCACCTGCTCCCCATTCGTACGCATCGTCTTTGGCAGCCCTCCCCATGCTGGGCTCTGCGGGTGACATGGCAGAGCTCGCCCATTGAATGACAGTATCGGGGAGCAGCGAGCAGCCTCTAGATCGGTCCTGATCAGATACATCCCATTCCATGGGAGACGGGAGTGAGAAGACGAGCACATCTCCGGCATCCGTTCAGCAGGAGAACTAACGGGCAGTCCCAGTACGTCAGCCATGCCCGCAGGAAGCAGCGAGCCCGAGAGTGCCCTCAGCTACCAGGTAAACGTTGTGATGGCAGCGACACCCGCTGTGCCAGGGTAGCATTGGAAGCTGCACAGGTCTGATTATCTATGGAGGGTATCAGTAACTTACTGCAGTGCAGACACAATGCAATGGACTTCCTAGCAGTCTGTATAGTACAGATCTAGCTGCAGAGAACAATCATTGCAGTTCCTGGTACCTTTCAGATGACATCAGTTGCAGAGATGGCGTTACACAGATTAGGCTTTGTTTTTTTCCATCTCTTTCACTGCAATTCATTTTTACCCGAGGTGTCACTGAGCAGCGGCGCCGCGTCACACTGGCGATGGTACCCAGCGTGTACCAGTGAGCTAGGACACCTAACTGGAGATGAGCATTGGTACCCAAAGCCGGTACTCAGGCTCTTCTCTTCCCACTGACCGCAGGTACTAGGTAATTTCTATGCCCACTGGGCCATATTCCCTGGCAGCAAATTGTCTGCTTCAAGATGTAAGCCGGCTGCACAACGCTGCGTTCAAACTTTTTTTCAGAATTGTAAAAAATTGTTGGTCAGAGCATTCTATCTTACCATCATTGAGTCAACTAATTTCACTGCAAAGCCCAGACCTGATACTTGAATGGAATCCCAGAGGTTTCTTTGGTGCCCAGCACATGCACATTATTGTTTTTTCCCCAAACTGGAATCACAATTAGACATTTGTTTCTTCAGCTAACAAAGAAGAAAGATTTTCCATCCTAAGCCTTTCCAAATTTTCATCCATACATTCCAAAGTGATCGTTGACTTACCAAATTTCGTAAACATCTGCTAAAAATAAAATTGCTCTGGTATATGGGCAGCTTTAGTGACCACAATCTGCACATCATCACTGCACTGTGCACTATTGTGTTGTATCAGCTCACTTGTATAACCGGACAGGATGACATAGCATCAGCTTACCCTCTGTCCTCGTCTGCTTTCAGTCACTTTGCAAACAATTGTGTAGTGAGGAGCTGGAGGCATGATTTTCTGTACATGGCAGGCATTGTACGCTTCCACGCTCTTCCTTTGCCTCTAATGTCACCTTGTGTGGAGGTCATTGAAGAGCATTGTGCTAGGGCTCCCGGAGATTTCCCATTTAATTGTGCTGGGACAGGCTGAAGGAGATGTGATGTTTGATTTCGTACTGATTGAAGACATACGGCTGGCATGAGAGGTGTTGTGTCAGTGGCCAGTGCACGGCTGGCATCTCAAGTGTTTGTTTACACGAGAGGATTGCGTTAATGGCGAATCATTTGGCCTTTCGATACTGTATGGCCAGCCACAAATGTAAATATCTATATTTTTATGTGTATATATTTATATTTATGTGTTTATATATTATTATACAGGATTTATATAGCGTCAACAGTCTGCACAGTGCTTGCTGCCTACTCATATATATATATATATATCTATATCTATATATATATTTAGGCTTATTTATTGATGAAGTGAAAACCGAGCCATAGCAACAAAGCATAGCCAGTTAGTTTCCAGGTCACTGTGGCCCGATCAGTGCTGAATTCTGAGTGGTTGATATGTGTTGTCACTCTTTGCACATTGCACTTGGTCATTAAGTGTGATTAAGATCTTATATTGATGCGTACCCAATGACAGTGACCGCAGCAGGAATGAAAGAGTATGTTGTCCGTAGCAACCAATTTTTTTTAAGCTTCCATTTGTACATTAAAAAATAAAAACGATAAAGGAAGGCTTGAAGCACTGCTGTGGTCAGAGACCGCATCTGAAGATTATAGAATCTAAATGTTTGCTCACCACAGGGTTAGAGGATGACGGCAATTTTTATTTATGTCAGATGTGTCTCCATCAATTTTATTCAGAGCCTGTGGCATTACAGAGCAACTGTCAGTAAGAAAGACAAGGTACTAGAAATATAGAAACAAGACAGAATGGCTTGCCGGAATACGTGCATCAAGATCTGGTTTGTTTTTAATGCGTCATTAAATTAGTGGATGTTAGTTCATGGCAGATGTCACATTACATAAATTCAGTTTTAAAGAGCCAACTGGATCCAGCGTGCATACAATTTTTTTCAGTACTGTGCTGGTTCTCTATTGAAGATTACCGTGTAAAATCTGTATTTTATTACTGCTAATACAGGGCTGGACAAATCCCAGGAGCCACGTAGTCAATGCTCTTCCGTATGACAGCTAGCGCCTAAGTTTTGAGGTTTTCTCTAGTTGTTATCAATGGTGTTGGCTCCTAAGAAAATCCTGCTGGCTTCTGGATTGCACTGACTGATTCCTGAATTCCTTTAATTTGTCCACCCCTGGTCTAAGTGATGACTGTATAATCAGCCAGTAATTATATATTAAAGGCAAACTCTACTTGAGAAGGATTTGTAAAATTTGGAACCCCTAAAACCTTTGCCAAATGTCCTTGCTATGCAAGAATAACTAATATATAGTTCAGCACATGAATTACTTACAAACTGCAGACCTGATTCACTACTGTGTGATGTGAAAATCTCAGTTTGCTTTCCTAGTGAAGTAAAGAGTGAAGGTCATCTGCGTTTATTTCAATCATGTAATCATTTCGTAGTGTATTCTTATCTTGTTATATTGGAGGCTGCCAGATTTTCAGGCCCCATCTTGTGGTCATCTGCCCCATTCCCTGAATTATCATGCCAGGGTCCAGATCAGAGGATCCTCAAGCTAGGTAACTATTCTGTAGCCCAGCTTTCTTGTCTTGAACACGCCCCTTCCTGAGCAGGACATCACCAATGTTGTGTAAGCTCCTACAACATCTGACATAGAGCTTTCTAAGAGTTTGACTCCCAGAGCTAAAGGAGTTGAGTGAGTATAAGTGGGTCTTTAGCACTTTAAAGACACTGTATCACAAGGGTCCTCAAACTCTCTTAAGAGCCAGTTCACCGTCCTTCAGAATTCAGGGGGGCCACATTGTGGGCAGTAGAACATTCCCCGGTGTCAGTGAGAGTAAACAATGGCATATGCTTGGTCAATTGAGGTAAAAAAAATGCCCCATGCTTGGTGTTCAGTGGGCATAGAAATAACCTAGTACCTGCGGTCAGTGGGAAGAGGAATAATGCCTCATCAGTGCCAGTGGAAAGAATAGTACCACACTGTTGGTTTTAGTGGAAGGAATAGTGCCCCATCGTTATTGTCAGTGGGAGGAATAGTGCCTTGTTGTCGGCTAATTCTAGTGGGAGAATTTGTGCCCCATTTTTGGTGTCACTGGGAGAAATTGAATCTTGTTGTTGGAGTCAGTGGGAGAAGTAGTGCCCTGTCCTTGATGTGATTGGGAGAAATTGTGTCCCATTGTTGGTGCCAGTTGCTGGAATAGCACTCTATTGTTGTTTGTGGGAGGAATAGTGTCCCATTATTGGAGAATGGAATAATTAGAGCCCCATTGTTTTAGTTGGTGGAATAGTGCTCTATGTTGCCAGTGATAGGAATTGTGGCCCATCCATGCTGTAAGTGGGAGGAATTGTACCCCATCCATGCTGTCAGTGGGATGAATTGTGCCCCATCAATAGAGACAGTGGGAGGAATTGTTCCCCATTGTGGATGTCAGTGAAATAAATAGTGCCCCATTGTTGGTGTCAGTTGGGGGGAAATGGTGCCCTATCAATGGTGTCAGTGGACAGATAGGTGCCTTGAGGGCTGGTTAGAGGCAAGCCAGGGGCCACAGTTTGGGGTCCACTACTATTTTATTCACAGACAATGGGGCTACCCAAAATTATCATAGCAGTAATGAGTGAAGGTGGTGAGGGGGCTTTTCTCTAACTTTTTTCCCCAAATGCACAATTCACACCTTGGCCTTTCAGTTTGGCATTTTTCAAAAAGGATTGTGCTTTCTTGTGTGTTTGGTGTGGTTTCCAGCTAAACACACCTTCCAGGTTTTCATTTCATTCTTTTTAACATGTAAAAAGTGTCTAAAACACACATAAAATGCTCCGAAGTACAACTGCATAGCGTGAGGTATGAGTGTAAGCTTAATGAACAAACTGCTACTTTTTTCAGTTTTCTTGTTAATAGATTTTGCATCTGGATAAAAATAGTTATAAAAATGAAGACCACTGTCATCTTTGCATGTTGACCTGTTGTTTTTTTTCTTTATTTTATTACCTTTGTGGCTCAATGGAAACAAACCTATTCTGCTTGCAGGTGGGTGTCAGTACATAGGGTGCCATGTAGCGGGTTATTCTCACATCTGTGTGAGTGGTGTGGTGAGTTTAAGGTGTAGTGCATTTTGATGCATTTTAGATGCTTTTAAAAAAATTATACTTTTTTTTTACATGCATTTTGCATTGTCATCATCCTCATTGAAGGTGCATTTTAGATTGTAAACGCTCACGAGCAGGGCTTTCCTAACCCTCTATTCATAAAATGTATTTTGACTATAGTGTCTCCCTTAACTTTATAAAGCGCTGCACAAACTGTTGGCACTATATAAATCCTGTATCATAATAATAATAGTTCCGCCCATGGCACTAGCGCCTTAAATGGCACTGACGAGTATAGGAAATTCCTACCCTATTCCTATATTCTTCATAGCCATCTAGGGGCTCTAGTGCCATGTGAATAGCATCCACCTGGCTGTATGTGTCAACTCAATATCCACCACGAGGCAGCCAAGAATCCTTACGGGATCACAGCCAAAATTACAGGACCATAAAAAAATAACCAAAAAGCTCATGTCAGGGTCCTATTGTCCCCCGAATCAAAAAATAAGATCCAGGGCATCCATCTAGCCAAAAAGACATCAGAGCGGTCAGTCCGCTCCCCCTATGAACTCTTCAGATGTCAATAATTGGCACAGTTCCGCAGACCACTCCCAGACTGAGGAAACTGTAGAGGAGTTCCATTTGCCGAGCGGGGTCGCTGAGATGTCGGGAGCCATGGAACGTTCGTCAGGCGGGGCCGGGGATAGGTCCCTCTCAAGAAGTACCCAAAGTGCAGGATCTTGCAAATTGAACCAGTCAACTAAATGGGACAATTGAGTAACCCTATAGTA